AAATCAGTAAAAACGTTATATTACCCAATGTTTTTAATGGCTCGTCTTCAAACTTCACAACAATATACAAGGCCTTTGGGGATACAAGTACCTGGGTAAGCATTTGACCTACACTGTTAGCACGAAGATCAAAATTTCAAGAATCTATAACAAGTAATATCTCATATGAAAGGGTATGGAGGACACTTTTCTTTTTGCAATACAGTGCCCTATGGTGTTGCAGTAACACCATGACAGGCTAACGTTATCATATTGTAATAAAAACACCATAAAACATCAGTTTTAGTCTAGTCGGTTGCTCTCTGAGTGCTCTTCTTTTTGCTTTTTTCAGACAGCGAATGAACCGATAAACTACCCAAAGGCCCAGCATAAGACACACAAAGAATAATTTGAACTGTAACTCATGTAGACCTATTGTAATGTAGTCCACAATAAAAATACAGAATTGGAAATGAGCAGTATAAGCTCTTTCTCACTTTCTCTCAGAAAACATTTGTTTGCACATTTTCACCGCACATTCTTTGTTATAACCAGTTTATGTATGAGAGTAAAAAAGGCCTACGTATGATTTTTATGCACACGCATAGTTTATACATCCAGCCTCTGATGTTGCGCACGGTTTCGCACTTTGGCCCATCATATGACGCTTGTGAATGTTATCAGTAACCTGTGTTTTTCCTGCTGTAACAAGTTCAAATGCCCGATGTGAAAAAGATCTGCCAAGGGAACTACTTGGGTTAAACACGAGCAGGAAGTTAAAAACCAGTTGCTAGATTCCCCACAAAAAAGATGTAATCGAACAATATGACAAAGAGACTTAATCATCGTGTACTGTATAGCTTTGCTGTAGAAATGAGAAATTTATTAACACGTGATGCCATAACATTCGTTTAAGAGAATGTCATTCATGTTTACATGCTTTTTGTCACATTTTAAGGAATTTTGCTTCTGTTGTGTCAACAAGGCTGGATCACATCAACTAGAATCAATATTTTTGAATGTTTTTTTTTTTACTTTCGAACGCTTACTTGCATGTAGCACTGTACAGCAAGCATCCTATATGTACAGTTCATCCACACCTGCAGTTTGAGCCTTCTTCTGTCCTCGTGTCTGGGTGCGTTTTGTGAGCATGTATTCATTTGCGGTTTTACGGTGATGAAAGAAAAGTGGAAAGAAACTGCCCTAAAATGCTCAACAGTGAGTGTGGTGTCAGGTAGATGGAGAAAATCTGAGCTCTGCGGAGCATGTTTGAGAGTTTCCCTCATGATTGTGTATATACCAAAATTAGGGATGCACCGATATATCGGCCAAACCTCGGCACAGCCTGATCTCCGCCTTGTTGAACATTCACTTCTCTGCAAACAAGAATGTATTTATTGACGTGAGTGTTTTCTGATCTTTTTTTCACAATGCCTAATGTTTAAGATGGTGTGTCAGTTATGTTATTGAAAATTTGCTTGTCTTCCTGGCACGCGAAGGAAAAGCAAACAAGAACAAAGCGTGGCGTGCCCAGAAGTTCACAGTCGGTGCATCCCTACCAAAAATCTAACCATGTTCATTATTCTGCTCCTAGTTGTTCTCAACAGGAAGTGGGATCTGATTAGCGTGTAGCTGTGTGGTGTTACTATCAAGCACAATTATTCCATCAGTTGTAATTTAGTGTAAATATTACTGTTGACTGTGGATAATAATCCTCGTGTATTAGCATAGTCTGGTTTGTCTAACGGTGTACTTAATGGATTTATTTCAAAGAAACTTGCTGTGTGTCTCAATTCATTTTTTCTTCTGTAAATGACTGTAAATTTGTTTATTTGTCAAAGACAAAGTAGGGGGGCTGTTTGTTTGTTTTTATTAATATTGCTAGAGTTGAGTCACAGCAGCCGTTCTCATCAGTACATGAGAATTAAATAGCCAGACTGTTGCTGCATGAGGTCGCCCAGCTTACTGCTTTTGTTTTTGCCTCCGTCTTTACTTTTGCCTTTTCATTTGTGATATGAAAGGACAGCTGTTTTAGTCTGGTGATGTAAAGATGAATAATGGACTTGAATCGGTTGTTACATTAAAGATCAAATGCTAACTGTATGTATCTCTTATTCATTTCGAGGAGTTATGTGTCATCATTTACACTTTCGTCATGAAAAATCAGTAAAGGGTTCGAAAAATGGACTTCTGGCTTTGAAGAAATTTCTTTGGAGGCAGGAGCGTGGCTGAATGTGGATCTGGGATGGATCCAGATCCCGTTTTTCTAGAAAAAGCACAGTGGTCCTCCTCAGTGGAACATTGTAACTATAAATATATAATGTTAAATAATACACTGAAGGTTCCTGTGCTCATTTTAGCTGCAAAACAACACTTTCTTTTTTTTAAATGGACTCCCCCCTCATATGTCTCGAAGTGGTTTGGTCCGCTCCCCCAATTCCTTTTATACTCGTGCTTTTGTTAGCACCATGACCTCACTGTTGAATCCTGTGTTTCGGTGCAGCTTCTGTTGTTTTTACAGCAGTCTCTCGCTGCATGCTAC